GAGGCTGGCTAGAGAAAATGAGTTCAGACCAAGAATTAGCCCAAGGGACAACCAGGAGACAGACTTTCCAGTCTGAGGGGAACATGACAAAGGGGGTATTATTAGGAAGACTTTAATCAGGAAGAGAAATCCATCAGTTTCCAGTGTATGAACAACAGCATAGTGGACCCAGGAAGCCACAGACAGGTGTATTTCTAGATGGTCGAAAACCTATTAAGGATTTATGTACATCTCTTTTATATATATCACCACGAAAGCACTGTAACTCAAAATGCAGAGCCTAGTTGGAGGCTATCTTAGTATCCCAGGAGAGAAACTGTGAGTGTAATGGGTAAGGAAGGTTACTGCAGCATGCCTGGGACAGAATACTACAGAGACTACCCCCAAATTTCTAAATATTTTATGGAGATAGTGGATTAATGGTTTAAATCAGTTTTAACACAGGGCCTGGGACCCTGAAAATAGTTTAAAACACACTGGTGTCTTGTGCTGTACCTTGTTACCGCTCTTTTCAGAACTTGTGATTGGAAATGATCTTCCTGGTAGCCTTGATATACCTATTCCCACAATGACTGCTCTGAGGCTTTGTCTGCAGCCAACTGACACAAGACCTAGTTCATGGTATTTTGTTACAGAGACTTGAAAACACTGACTCTTGAATTGATTGGTAATTGCTTAGTGTCTTTTGACTTTCCTGAGTAATCATGTGTGTGGTTATTTTGGGAAGTCCTCTAGATACCTAGCTCTTCGTATTTGAGTGCCTATAAATCAAATACCTAGCTTTCTGGGCACTTCTGACTTCCCATTGCAATGTTTTATCCATATTTATACAAACAACTGCCACTTCATTGTAGATTCTAATAATAATGATGATGAAATAAATCAATGACAGAAACAGTGCTTATCATATGTTGGGCAATGTACTAAGTGACTGACAGCTGTTTTACTGATATACATTTTTAGCAGAACCTTCCATTTGATGATAGTTACTCTTTATTGGGCAATAATTTTGTAACACACATTTTGGTAGGCTTTTTATACAATATGTGTAGAGTCCCCATAAATATATGGAGTATTTTTTTATCCCCATGTTATAGAAGAAAGTGAGAAATCTTAAGCTAAATGTCTGTTTACATAGATAGTAATCTGAAGTTAATCTCAGATTTATGTTCACTATTTCAGAGCTAAATAGGTAGAGAGATTTATAAGACCCACTGTGACACATGGTATCAGAATCACCAGTGCTAAAGAATATGTCTGGTCTATGCTTTGTCTCTGTTGAAATATTTATGGATGCATTAATGTACTGAGTGTGTACCATCTCTTGATTTTGCCTGCAGGTTTTATGTATTCTCCAGTTCAATTTATCCTTCACCTATTACTTAATTTACTTGTTTTGTGTACTTGTTTTGTGCAAAAGCCAATGAAGTGAGCTTGGAAAAATGCACAGCTTGAAGAAAAACATGCAAACAAGTATGACGATATAATCATAGTTGGAAGAGAGGTGAAAGAAGGATCAGAAGGTAGGAGCTACTGCTTGCATTAGACATGTCATGATCCTGACAAACATGGCAATTCAGCAAGAGGCCAGGAAATTGAGCATGAGTATATGGCATGTTCAGGGAAACATCACAGGCTCAGCAAGGACTAGCGACAGTGTAAGAGATGAGCGAGATGCCATGGGGCTTCGAGGACAATGCCACTAAAGAGCTTTTAAGTCCTGCCTAATGGTATAGCATTTATACTGTGATATGAGATAGCTTCAGGTGAAGCCTGGTATTTCTTAGGAGGTAGAATTTATATTAGTAGATGGTGGAAACCACAGCTTCTACTTTGGTGAGAGGGTTCTTCCTTGTGACAGCAACTTTATATTATGGGGAGCAGGGGCTGGGAATATAGCTCATTGGCAGAGAGCACTTGTCTAGCATGAGTCAGCTCCTCTGCTTGAGACCCAGAACCACATACATATTACTGTCCTGGTTAGTTTTGCTTGCCAGATTGATACAATCAAGAATCACGCTGAGGGAGTCTCAACTGAGAGATTGCCCAGATCTGATTGGTGGGTGGTCATGTCTGTGGGGAATTACCTTCATTGGTGATTGATATGGGAGGGCACAGGGTAGGTGGTGCTACCCTGGGCAGGTGGTTCTGAGTTATACAATAAAGCTAGTGAAGCACGAGGCAGAAAGAGTGAGCCAGTGAACTGCATTCCTCTGTGGTTTCTGCTCCACATTCCTGCCTCTAGGTTCCTGCTCTGAGTTTGTGCACTGATTTCGTTCAGCGATAGACTGCTATTTGGAAATAAAACTGAAATAACACTTTTCCACCCTAAGTTGGTTTTGTTCAGTGGTTTATCACAGCAACAGAAGAGCAAACTGACCTAATTATGAGAGACTAGTAAGTTTTGTTGAGCAGAAGATCATCATCTCCTAATATACGTTTGTTTAACGAATCTCCAGGAAGTGGACTTTGTAATGTACAGCATTGCGTTCCAAACGGTCATCAATCCCACCCCATTTACTGTCAGCCCCACATACTGAATGGTAGTTACTTTAAGGTAATCATCTGAGAGGCCTCCTAACTCAAAATATTGTGCTCTTGTGAGGGATTACTACCCTTGCAGTTACCTCTGCCCGGGAGCTTTACCTTCTGTGATGAGGTTGGTTTTCACTCCATAAATTCAGTGTGCTGACCTCGCCCTTCTCATTATTTCCCAGTCTATTTTTTTTTTTTTTTTTTTTTTTTTTGGAAATCCTCTAGAAATTGAAAATGACTACAGGAAAGGACCTGGGGGAAGTTTTAGGACCTAGTGCTTTATTTCATGTTTTATAACGAAACCCGACACTTGCAAAATTTGGCTGTGTTCTCAGCCAAAGACACACCAGTTTTGTTTGTTTGTTTTTGTTTTTGTTTTTTTGTTTTTCTGTTTAATGTGTAGTTGATCACAGAATTCCCTGCCTGCCTGTCTTCCAGCAGCTTGGGACGTTAGTCCTGGTTCCCCACCCTACTACCACCATGCCATTTTTCCTGCAGGGATCAGCACCCTGCCAAAGGTCACATATGTCCCGGTGACTCTGGAGCCAAAGAGAGGATGGGAGCAATACTGTCAAATATTGTTGTAGTCGCCCTTGGTGGCGTTCCTTCACTGCCAACCACAGATCCTGAGAGCGGGGAGCTACTGTTCCTACTACAAAGATAGAAAACGTGGTCTCGTTGCCAATGTCGACCCTTATCTCGGACTCATTATTTCTTTAAACATACCTAAATGCGGCTTGGCAATTTCACCTTCTCACATAACTGAAGTGGAAGCAAAAAGGTGCTTGGAGTGCTTTGAATGTTTGATCTCGGGCTTTCTTATGGCTTCTGTCTCTCCTCGCACGGGTTTGAGATAAAAGGGAACCAGATGTTTTCTTGTTAAAGATCAAGGCAATCAGGATGGCAATTCAGGACATGACTATCACCACCGCGGGGAGAAGGGGAGGCCACGTGACACTTTTCTATTAGCCGCAGTATGTCAGGTTTATGTAGCTGTCAGAGAGGGTATTTCATTTCATGCCTATTTGTGATTTCTTTGTTGTTGTTGCCAGTTTCAAATTCCTGGCACCACCCTCAGTAAACTGAACGAGGCTATTATAAGTGTGCATTCTCATGCTAAGGGAAGCCAGTATTTCAGATGCCTGCTGAACCCCTTTACTATTCTTTACACGTAGTAACGTCATTCAGTTTCTTTAGAATAATGCTGAGAAGGTGGGTGGTCTATTCCCATTTCACAGATGAAAATTCGAGACACGGGAAGGTTAAGTACCTAATCTCTGTTATATTGCTCATAAGCGTTAGCAGAGCTGAGGTTTATAGCTATGCAGCCAGTGGGGACAGGATAGGGAAGATAAGCTAAAGATTTAAGGAAGAGCTCTTCTTCAGTCTTCAAAAGTACAGGGTCTGCACCGGGAAGTGTATGCCTTGCTCTCAGCACTGCAAGCTTTTTCCCCTTGGTGCTGGGGTCTTATTTCTTATAGGCCTGCTCTAGCTGGTCCTTATGTTTAGGAACTCAGCCTGCAAGGGGAAGCAGATTGAACAGCAGGAGAGGTGGTCTATAGGTTCTGAGGAGATCAGCAGAGATCCAGCCCACAGCCCTCAGGATATAGTGAGCCTTCTCCATTTGTATTCTATCCTCCCCTATGCTTCTCAATTACTGGTTTGTCTTTGACTTTCTCCAGTATGGATAGGGAAGAAGATACACTTCATGGGAGAATAAACTTCTGCATCCCACAGAGAAAATTCTAGAGCATGTCACAGGATACTGAGCATACTTAGATTTTTCTACTTCCAAGATTCTTATTTCATATTTGCCAAGTCCATAAATATCCAAATGTGCCTGTTGGTCTCAAAGATAATCCAAAGGCACAAGTGTTTTAAGAATCCTGGAAGGGTCTTGGAAAGGGAATTTAAATTGCTCCAGAGAACAAAATAAAGTAGGTATAGTCTTCAAAACCTGAATATTAATAAAGAACTGCCCCTTCCTAAATATTCTCTACTCTTAGACAATCTATAGGACAATGAGTAAGTTTTGAATAGAACCATGCTTTTCTCTTTCATTAACAAAGGGAAAATTTACTCTAATATAAAAGGTCCTTTACTTAGCCTCAAAAAACCATAAACCTTGGGAGACCACAGAGACCAAGAACCCACAATATGAGCACTAACATCCCTTATGGATTCAATATCCCTAAGTTCTTACGTGTGGAGAGCCAGGTGTAACTGGAACACGGCTGAAATGAAGGACAGTTAGTAGTATTATGATCTAGTAGCTTGTTTGAGCATTGCAGCATCATATGTGAAAATCCAGAATAGTTCCTACAGGCAAACTTCTGACATTGAGATCTGAGAAGACCAGTTGACAGTGGCTGCTCCTCCATTAGCATCACTATGCCACCAAAAGCACATCAAAGGGACATGGTAAGGGGCGCTAAGCAAACAGGCTACAAGGAAGGTACACTTGCCTCTTTGATCAGGTTCATAAATCTGGGTCCAAGGCGCCATGGCTTGTGTCGATGGCACTGTAGGGAGCTGACCGTCAGCTGTGAGGCGCGGTGGGAAGCAATGGCTACCATGTACACAGCATCATACATCAGAGCTGCTTCAGTCTGTAGAGAAAAACAGGGACCACACCATCAATTCCATCTTTATTACCTCCCTCTACCCAGGCAATTGCTATTTCTTCCTTGCTATTTGATCTTAAAGACCTTTTGTTCTTTAGCTAAACAGTGGTTAGTTACTGATAGCTACTTTTCTACAAAAGAAAACTACACTCCAGAATAAATTAGAATTCCACATTTGGTTTTGAGTTCTTAAAAGCAAAGCAAAATAAAAACCCAGATCAACTACAAAAGACTTTATTCCAGGAATATTTTTGGAGTGTCTTCTATGTCAAGCTCATCATTGAAGTCAACTACCTTGAGACTGATTCTACTAAGACTCATTATTTCAATATGAGTTCTTGTCTCTCAGCACCTTCCTTCCTTCCTTCCTTCCTTCCTTCCTTCCTTCCTTCCTTCCTTCCTTCCTTCCTTCCTTCCT